AAACAGGTCACGTTATTACTTGATTGTAGTCTGCAAATTATCCACAATGTATTCCATTAAGACATCTGCATGTTGTATTAATTGAATCCGATACTAATCGTGGGGAGTATTTTACATTCTTCGTTTCTGTTCGTAGATGGTTTCTGACACGGCGCGCGTTCTGTGCTAATAGATATCAGCCGCCATATCTACAGATCATCCAGATGCACAGCGCGCGTGCGTGCGTGCGTGCGTGCGTGAGTGAGTGCGTGCGCACGTGTGTGCATGCTTTCGTGTATTTATGTAAGTGTGTGCGCGTGTGTGTGCATGCGTGCGTTCGCGCGCGCGCGTGTGTGTACGCGTGTTTGTGTGTGAGCGTGTGAGCGTGTGTGTGTGCGTGTGTGCGTGTGTGTGTGGTGTGTGTGTGTGTTTGTGTGTGTGTGTGTGTGTGTGTTGTGTGTGTGTGTGTGTGTGTGTGTGTGTGTGTACATTTATTATTATTAGACGAGCCTGCAGCGTGAGCAGGATACTGAATCTTACTGTATCGATTCGTAGCAATCTGTTAAAACCGTGAACAATAGCGCATTCTCCTTTACAAACGGACGGACTAAACGGAATATAAATATCTTTGTTGTGCGAGAATTTCCCTTATTATATTTATATTCATCGGATGAAATTGCTCACATTATTCTTCAGTCAGATTTCTGAGCGAAAACCTTTAGTAATACACCTATATAGAACGAGAAAAGTTGAAAACGTCTTGCTGATGGCGGGAAACGTATAAAAGAGAAATTGAATCAGAGGTGAGGCGATTTTTAACATTAACGGCTTAGGCTCGAGATGAGATTTAGCGGTATAATACGGGGGCTTTTTTACGAGATTCGCTCCAGCTGATGTAGTCAGGTAGCGGTCTGTTTACAAGCTTACCGTCTTTGTTCATCCCCATCTGAGACACTTGCGCAGTCTGCCAGGCCTGGCACTGGTTCCGCGTGAGCCTTGTCGACTACGCAATTCCGGTTCCTGCTGACACCTGTAGAAAGTAATGTGCTGACGTTTGAGTGATAGGAATGGACAAAACGGACGCACTTCCGCTAGAAAACTAAGATCGCGAGGTATTGATTTTATTTAGAAACTCTAAATAGTCAGTAGTGGGTGCGTAAGGCGTTACAATATCGCAGCACGGTAAAAGGCCTTCTAGGTCTATCCCATTGATATATACAACACATATGTTTGTATATATATATATATAGTATATATATATATATATATATATATATATTATATATATATATATATGGCCTACCCTACCTCCCACAACCGCGGGCATCTCCGTCGTAGTATAATAACACGTCGTAGAAAAATATTGCGGGCTGCGTGTCTTAGTATTCGAGAATATTTCTGGGACGTAATGCGTTCAAAGAATGCGAATAGATTCGCGGAGTAGTTTCGGTCTGATTCGAGCTTGGATCGACTATGATAAGTTATATTATATTAGATTTATAGTATATATATAATATATATATATATATATATATATATATATATATATATATATATAATACATATATTATATATATATACGTTCCGTTTTCTAAGCGCAAGTCAAATTACAATAGAAAAATATTGAAATGATAACAACTGAAGACATATTATGCACTAACGTTTTCAACTTTATTAGCTCTTTAGGTGCTTTTTTCTGGCGTACGGGCGCACTGGTACTGAGCCGGCATGACCGCCGAGAGGAACAGTAGAGAGTGAATATATAAGAACAGAAATAACAGCTTCGTGGACGAGATGTTACGGACGAGAAACGCATCGGAGAATATTCCATTTCTCTGAGGTGCGGACGAGGATGGCGGCAACAATAGTGTTATATATATATATATATCTTTTCAGAAATTATTCACGGCGCTTATTATGGTTTCAGAATATTAACTGCTCTGGCTATATTAGGATTACATTTTTTATCATCACAGATCTTCCCCGATGGAAGATAATAGTGTATAATAACAGTCTATTCAATTATACACTCTGATAATATACAACAACATCAACAAACTATCACGGTGGCCTCGTTAAGTTTACATCAAGGTTCCGCGCGTAAATGATCTGCAGACGCCATTTTATGTCTATAATACTTCAACCCCATGGACGCGTCACCTCCACCCCTCCCACCCATCTCACAGACGATCCTAACCTATTAAAGATGAGTTTTCTGTCTGACGCCTGCGTTGGAAGAAGCCGCTGCAATGCCGTTGCAGGCCAGGATGCGTAAGTTGGTCTTGCCGCTCGACGGTGTCTCCGCAGACGACGCACACACGCCCCGCGAATCTGATGCTTCGACGGAACCGCGGGTCCCCATGCCGCCGCGTCCTCCGCCGAAATCATCGTCTGTTGAGGGTCCGCCCATGATGACCCGCGGTCGAGAGAATGAGTCGGCCGACCCGCCACGCACTCCACCGCGGGAGTGCACCGCGAGTGGTTGTTGTTGACGGGCGACACCGACTCCGGCGACGAGCGCGAATGCGAACGACATCGGCGATCGGAAATCTACGGGGGGTGAAACGTTCGTCGCGTTATAAAATTTACGTAACGATATGAGACGGGGGAAAAGACTCGCAAGAAGAAAAGGAGGAAACACTACGTGATTAATAAGTGATAAAAAAGATGTGAGTAGGTAATAGGTTAAGTGAAGATGAGTGAGTGAGTGAGTGAGTGACGTGAGTGAGGATGTGATTGAGGTGATAGTGAGTGAGTGAGTGAGTGAGGGAGTGAGTGAGTGGCAGTGGAGCTGAGTGATGAGTGAGTGAGTGGAGTAGATGAGTCGAGTGGAGTGAGTAGGAGTGAGTGAGATGAGTGAGTGAGTGAGTGAGTGGAGTGAAGGCGATGCGAGTGAAGTGAAGCGAGTTGAGGAATGCGTGAGTGACGTGAAGTGAGTGATGGAAGTGAGTGAATGTCAGTGAGGGTTGAGTGAGTGATGGTGAGTGATGTGAGTGCAGTGAGTGGAGTAGTGAGTGAGTGAATGAGTGAGTTGATGAGTGAAGGGGGGTGAGTTGAGTGAGTGAGTGAGTGAGTGAGTGAGTGAGTGAGTGAGTAAGTGAGCAACAAGCAAACAAGCAAACAGACAAACAAACAAATCAAAATAAATAAATAATAAAAATGCATGCTCGTGTGTGCATTTTCAAACAAATTATTGAATAGCAAACAGAATAGCAGTAAGAAAATCCCAGTTTATCTAAACGTTATTGATATTTACGCGAATAACATTAGACTATAAATAATGTAAATCTTGGTGTAAAATACAGTCGCTTATTGTCTCTGCGGCATCGAGTGCAAGCATGTGGAGATTATTATCAGTAACGCGGTACTCCTCATCGCCTCTGGGAGGGAACCTCTATTAATTCGTTTGCGACATCTGCACTGTAGTTTGCGACAACGGCGGCATCTGCACTGTAGTTTTGCGACAACGGGGCATCTGCCTACTGTAATTTTGCGACAACGGGCAGTTTGCAACTGTAGTTTGCGGACAACGGGGCATCTGCACTGTAGTTTTGCGACAACGGGGCATCTGCACTGTAGTTTTGCGACAACGGGGCATCTGCACTGTAGTATTGCGACAACGGGGCATCTGCACTGTAGTTTTGCGACAACGGGGCATCTACACTGTAGTTTTGCGACAATGGCGGCATCTGCACTGTAGTTTTGCCCGTAGTATTTATTCACGGATAAGTGACGACGACATGAACAACGACTTCCCCTGTAGTAATGCGACGCTAGCGACGACGCTGTCTGCTACTGACGCAACGCTAGCGACGACGCTGTCTGCTACTGACGCAATGCTAGCGACGACGCTGTCTGCTACTGACGCAATGCTAGCTAGCGACGACGCTGTCTGCTACTGACGCAATGCTAGCTAGCAACTGAACGCTGTCTGCTACGACAGCAATTGCTAGCAGCGACGAACACTGTCTGCTTAGCTGACGCAATTCTGAGCGACGAACGAATGTCGCTACTGCACGCAATGCTAGCTAGCGACGGCGAACACGCTGTCTGCTACTGACGCAATGCTAGCTAGCGACGACGCTGTCTGCTACTGACGCAATGCTAGCTAGCGACGACGCTGTCTGCTACTGACGCGACGCTACCGACGACGTCTGCCGGTGGCCTGACGCTAATATCGATGAGCGTGGCACAACGGCGTCTTCTGACGTTGTTTCGACGCTAATGATGTCGTGCGTCGCGTCGCGGCGACAGAATAATAGCGGGCTCACTCCGACGATAATGTCATTAGGGCAGTGATTGGCAATAGATTGAAACATCAAGATAAAGCACTCTGCTTTAACATACAAATACAATTATATAGATCAGTCATTATAGGTCTGAGAGTGACGCTTAACGTGGCGGAATAATGTGATCAGACCAGGACGTAGCAGCATGTTAATGCACAACGACTGAGATAAGGAGGGAGGGAAGAAGAAACACAGGATAAAGAGTGAGAGCGAATGCGAGAGAAAGAAAGAAAGAGAAAAAAAGAAAGAGAGCGCACCAGCGAGCTAACGATAGAGAGAGAGAGAGAGAGAGAGAGAGAGAGAGAGGAGAGAGAAGAGATAGAGATAGAGAGAAAGAGAGAGAGAGAGTGGAGGGGGAAGAGAGGGATTGGGGGAGAAGAGAGAAAAATAGAGCGATGGTGGCGGAGAGGAAAGGCGAATGCGGAGAGAGAAAAAAGAATGGGTAATCAAGAGAGAGAAACTGCACTCTGAACATCGGGAGTTTAGAAGTACAACGGGAAGACAATGGAAAGCAAGAGAGAAAATTGCGCGCATTAATCGATTAAAAAGAAAGACGGTGACACAGAGTAGGAGAGAAGAGAGAAAGAAAGAACGAAAACGACAGATACAGAGAGATAGATAGTAAGATATATATATATATATATTATATATACATATATTATATACATAATATATATATATATATATATATATATAATAGTATACTATATATAGAGAGAGAGAGAGAGAGAGAGAGCAGAGAGGAGAGAGAGAAAGACGAGAGAGAGAGAGAGAGAGAGAGAAGAGAGAGACGAGAGAGAGAGAGAGAAGAGAGAGTATATATAATATATATATATATAGAGAGAGGAGAGAGAGAGAGAGAGAGAGAGAGAGAGAGAGAGAGAGAGAGACAGACAGACAGACAGACAGATACTGAAAAAGAGACATATAAAGAAAGCTCTATAAGGGAAGACATTTTCTTAGAGAGATACCTAATGGTAAAAGTAACAACAGAGATGGATTACCCATCAAAATTTGATTCCCCAAAATAAAACTAAAGACCGAGAATATTTTCATGCTTAATATGTGGGAATCGCGCCTGATTTATGGTAGCACCATATAAACCAATTGAATTGGTTGCGCGCACACACATACACGCACGCACGCTCGCATAGACACGCATGTCGGTACACACACATAATAACAAGAGCGTATTCCGGCTCTGCGTCTCATGCATGGGGTCGCACAGTAAGCTGTTTACGTTCGCATGATATATGAAACATTGGCTACACTTATAAGGTATATCATGAATATTGGCGCATATGACGCACATACGAAATTTTAGAATGTTCCACACATATTAACGTACATTATATATATGTATATGTATACATTGCTGCTATCAAGTAAAGGTTATTGTACATAGCCAAGTACCGCATATATCCGTGCGGATATTGCTGCTCTGTTTGTCGTTGGTTGGTCATAACGGAACGCGCCTGGCAGTCGACGTACACGACCCGACGCGTCACCCCTGTGCGACGATCACGGCCTGATCCACCACCACGTCACAGGGGTAAACGTTACAATATATATAAACTTACATTATATATATATATATATATATATATATATATATATAAATGAGTAATAAAAAACATTATATATATACGTTGTTTTTTATTACGTTTTGTACTACTTATTTTTTAACAATAAACTCTACAAAAGCAGTCGACCGGTAGATTGTGTACTTCGATGTGTGCAATTCTATGCAATTTTAGGAGTGCTTCATCAGATATTAAAATCTCTTACAAATATTAAGGAAGAACTATTAAAAACATTTTAAAAATCGGAGAGAGTATTATCTATCTGATTAATTAAAAAATCAATATCTCCCAATAAAAAATATAAAACAAAATTACATAAGAACTCTCGAAATGTCATATTTGGTAATTTATTTCTATAATTTTTTTTCTGAGATTCTTCACGGCTCTCCTGCCGTAACATAGTAGCCGCTGTGAGACGCCGCGGCAGCAGACGCTAGAGTAGCTGATGCTAGCGTAGGCAGCAGAGAATTTCAACGTGTATACGGAAATCATAGAGCAACAGGCATTCCACTGACATCTAGATTTGCGTATTGTTTAATTTAGGACCCGTTCAGTTTCTCTATTCAGAGTTAGTGATCATTGTAACACATTGATTGATTGGTCCGGTAACATATTTGTAGATTTAGTTCAGCGGCGCTATTTATACTTGCCATGCCAGCTAACTGGTAATTATGTCCTTAGTACACAATATAATATGTAGATACACCTCTAATTAGACACCCTTAACATTAGGGCGCTGAGAATAGATGCGACAGCGGTATAGAAATCATCAAGAGTAGATAATAACACATTAATAAAACATAATGTGTTATTATCTACTCTTGAAATCATCTATAGACGATAGTCGGGGCTGTATAGTTTGAGTGTAAGGACAGCTGTCGTGGCGTAGATATAATATCAGAGGGTTAATAATGACAAAGACATGTCATTATTAACCCCTGGTAATATGTAAGTCCGGCCGCGACAACGTCGGTGTTAGCGTTATCTCTCGATGTTACTGCCGGCTCTAGAACGATCGAGAGGGATTCCAGCGTCGCAGTTGCCTGGGTAACAGGTGTCAGGGATTAAGCAGCTAACGACGCTGGGCGTCTACAGGAAGCAATTTTAATGCCCGCCGCGGTAGTTAACGCGATGTCGGCCTGCCTCATTTCCTTGCTTGACCCGTTTTAGGACTTACTTTGCGTTATTACTGTTGCCGTCACCTGCCGGTGTGCACAGAGCACAAGCTACGAGAGAGAGAGAGAAAGTGGGTACGAGAGAGAGAGAGAGAGAGAGAGAGCACAAGCTACGAGCGAGAGTGGTCGGGGGAAGAGGCCAGCGGCGGGAGACACTTCCGCTAGATGATATCTTCATCAGGAGTGAACGCAGCGCAGGCAGAGCGTTGTTATTTGACGTGTAATGACGAGTGTGTACACACATAAAAACACGCACACACACGCACACACACACACACACACATACATACATACATACATACATACATACATACATACATACATACATACATACATACATACATACATACATACATACATACATACATACATAC